TCCTTACTTGATTGAACTTTTACTATTTCTGCTCCTCTACATTAGATCCAAGATATTTCTTTCCATGCGTATTGTTCGTTTACTCTGAGATGTAACCAGATATTTTGATTCTGTATATGTTATGGATAGATCTGCACAAACTTTTTTTTGGCAGATGATTATTAACTGGAATGGGCAAACCTGAGGAAAAATTATTGACCTGTTGGAAATTTTCAGGTTGCTTTGGAGACGTTTCTCTTAATGTGCTATTTGTTCACCCTTCGTGTGGATAAGTGTTGGAGAAGTCCTTTCTTTATAGGCAACTGTAGTACTCCGTGGAACGCGATTCGCTTGTCTTCCAGTTTTCCACTTTAGCCAAAACTTGGTCCCGTCGATAGCGCTGGTTTAGAGCATGAACAAGATATGCCATACGATGAATGCTGTCTTCGAGGTTGCAGGAGAGTATTGAGAGCATTACTCCTTAGCATGATTCTGATTACTCTAACGGTTATATTATTATCCGCTACCCAGGACAGTTTGACTGCCCTCCTTTTGAGCCCAACTACCTTTCTCACAAAGAAATTACATTTTCCTTACGGTTTTTTAAGCCTCATTTTGATGGCACGCCATGCCGTTTCGTCATACTTTAGCTTGTTGCCATCGATGAGCATATGTTTCGACCAAGCAATTTTTGTGTGACAGATGGTTTTGGACGAAGTTCGGCTACAGCATTATGCAAATCAGACCAATGCTGGCACCACACCTGACGTGTTTGTAAGTTCCCATGGGAGTGGTTCAAAGGTTTCGTGAATTCGTTTATGATGGAATAGCGACCCGACGGCGACTAAGTTACCTATCGCACTAAAATTTAGTTAACGCCTGTTGTTATTTGCGGTGTTGATTGGATCGTGCTGTATTAGGCGCTAACCATCATGTTGAGATTTCGTGCTACAGTGATGACATTATGATTCGATGAAGGGCTGACAGCTTACTGCAAATCGTCAAAGAACGCGTCTTTGTCAGTGTCTGATGACTCGTTTGTTGGGGCGTAAACGAATGTGACATTCAACTTCAGCTTCATCTGCGTGACATTAACGCGAAGAACTGAGGGCTCTCCGACTTCTGTTCGACAGAAATAGCCACATACTTTACCTTTGTAGTACGAAAATACCCATTTAGACAGTATATCATTTGTGAGCTCAGCCCATCTTTTTGGTCAAACGTGTCCTCAAAAGTGAGAGTTTCAGTTACCGCTGACTCGTCAGATCTGCACTGACGGACATTGTCGCCGATGTCAATTAGTTGAGCGTTCCAGCGCACATCTCTGGGAAAGTTAACTGACGCCGTCATGGGCGTAGGTGGCGCTCAGCATTTTCGTTAGCGTTTTGTATCTTGTGTTACGATCATGAACCGTTGGTTATACGCCTCATTTCTGAAAAAAAATTCGTCATGGCGCCGTTTGCTAACAATGCAACTGAGCAACCTGTGCATCTCAGTGTTGTTCCACCATTTGCAGCGCACAACACATGCGGCTATTTAATCACTGTCGATGTTAGCTGTGAAAAGTATCGCAGTGTCCAGTGACAGTATTCCAACTTAAGTTAAGCACCCTCCGTTACCGTAAAACACTACCGTCTCTTCGCCGCCAAATCGAAAAGTGCGGTTTGTTACCTTGTCAAGTCGCTACTTCATTGTTGTTGTCATTTCCGCCCATTTGTCGAGCCGTTAAGTTTGTGCGTCGTTCTTGACCAATGTCTGGTTTTCTGTTCGAGGTTGAAGTAGTTCGTTTCAGTCCAGTATCTGTTATTCTTTGAGAAGGTAGTGTTGCTGACTTAAAGCTGAAATGTACAATGTGCAACGATGGCGATGTGACGAGTCCTTTGTAGGCGGGCGGTCGATTTCAAAGTTATCTACAGCGCGTTACATTGTTTTTGTTGTTGTGTGTTTTGATGGTCATTGCTTAATTCGTTATGTATTTGAGACAAACGCTTTTTGGTGGCCACCTTTGACTATGTTCATAATTCGTTGGGCTTCTCGCATGAAGAAATCCTCAAATGGCCACGAGTACTGCGCGAACGAAAAAGCCGCATTCAAGAACGCCACGAGTTCTTACGTAAGATCGGTCGCGCCCAGTACGATCCGATGAAACCTAACTTCGTGTCCTTGAACGCGCTGATGAACGACAGAGATCGAGACTTTTGCTTTACGGTAGCGAAAGTTCCCGTTTCCGTTTATAACGAATTTCTGAAGACACTTTGAACGGAGTTAACTTCTGTTGCCTACGTAGCGTGTTTGATTTGTTGCGTAATCGTTCGGCGTCTAAATTTTGACATGGTCTGTTCTTGTCGCTTATTGGCGATGACTGTTTGGCACCTTGCTGATTTTGACTTTCTGTCAATTCCCATTATCTACTACGGACGATTGATACCGGTATAGTGTTATTCTTAAATTTCAGATGCGCTTATGTTCCTACCGTAGTTATTTTTAATTCTTTTGCTCATTAGTAAGATCATTTGATGACAGAAGCGTGATTCGGAACTCCTGCTCATATCATGATCGATCGACTTATCACATATAGATGTGGCGTTTGGAACGATATACTGAATTTTTATATGGTTGAAGACTTATACTATTGTCTTGTTTCTAACGGTGTGTTCATACTGTTTGTATAGTGCTTTGTTTTTCAGGCGTTCAAACACTGGTTTCAGCTTGTATTAATGATAAAATTTAAAATTTAAATTTAATTAGCTGAGTTCTAGTCAGCTGTCAGTTTTGATAAATCATATTTCAGTCGTAACAAACACGCACAGGCAGCATGGCCGTTTGTCTCACGCTTACATATTCTGTTTACGCAAACATTTCAAGATAATCATCACAACAATCACGGAGTGTCATATTGTCCCTAATGTTCGTAGGTGAATTACTTGCTTCCTGTTTATCTGCTGGTTGCACCGGAGCGAGTTCCTTTATCAAGAAATTAACAAATAAGAAAACTTGCGACACGCTGGAATATGAATCTGACACCTGTATAGTGCAAAGTTAATGTGTTATTATCTACGACACTGTACTCCCAAGGGGTAATCCTATTTGGCAGAAATGTTGAAAGTACAATACCGATATGAAATTCGATCATGTATTGTGTCTATAGTCTTCGAATCCTTGCTATCGTAACATTTTTCAAAAATCTTGAAACTGGATTTGCATGAAGGTTGTTGAAGAGCAGTAGTATTGCGTGCAAACTTTTAGCGTTTATCCTTCATCAGTACCATGTGGGTGATACTGTATTAAATACCTTGGATCGTTGCTGTCTTCACCTCATATTGATTGCAAAATCATACCGTGAGAGGATCTCTGATGAGCGATAATTTGTTGTTGCTAATGACAGAATGAACACTGAACGTAACCATTTATATCATCGATATTTGCGTCATTCGTCTTGGCCCAGGTAGTGAACTACCTTGATTGTTTTTGAACAGTTATTTTGTTAAACTTGTAGATTATTAAGTTAAAAAAAGTTGTAATGGTAAATAAAAATGAAAAATAGATTGAAATCAATATGGATGGAAATATCGATTTGTTGCTTGTCTAAATAAGGATGATTATTTCCTTGATTCACATTTTGAGGCAAAAAGTTACTATGACAGTGCTAATGTTCCTTGTTTACTAGCACATTGTAACATCACATTCCTGGGGAATGAATGTTATTGAAATTGCTACAAATACAGCAGCACTTTAGGATTACAAATTTACCGGAAGCTTCGCCAGTTCGAAACAGTGATAAAGATGGCTAGTGGCTTATAAGATCTAATACGATGACTGTGCAACAACTACATCAGAAAAGTCATGGGAATACTGGACAAATTGTTTGGTCTCATTCAGCTATCCTGAGAAGCGAAAAATGGTGCATTCCTGTACCGTTATGTAAGCTTTCTTTCTGTGATATTCAGTCAGTCCGACAAATGTCAGTTATATCGACAGCTGACGAACATCGGCTTATTAGTCTGAGGAGCGTTGCACACCTTGGTCAGCAAAAGCGAAGTCACGTGTTCAGATATAGGATTTTACTGTTTGAATGACATTACGGATGAACGCCATTTTTCAGCATACGATAAAATAAAAGGAACGTGGCATAGATCATTTAGAAAATGACAGAATATATCAGAGAAAAAATTAATGGCATTGTGTAATATTACAGGACAGTAATTTAACATGAAATCAGTCGAAGGACATAACAAACCTTTGGCAGCACAAAGCATTGCAACGTACATAGGAAGGTATCACCTCCGTTACACTGGACGCCACTCCGATCCATGGACGGCACCCATAAAGGGCGGACAAGTTACGATCTGGTAGGAGCTGACCTTCAAGTCCTCCCTAGTCCGGCAGTTTATGGTGGGAAAAAGCCTGGCTGCACTGTGCGTGATTGACAGAAAAGGAAAGTTGCAACCGTTGGAATCTCGCTTTTCCTGACACTTTCATAATTGGGCCAATTTAGCGGCTTTCTTTGCATGAAATTAATGGTTGACCCTGATTTTCATTTCAATCTCATCAGACAAGCCCGCTTTTGTATGGCAGAATCAACAAGAAGTATGCTGCAGGCACAATGTGTAGTCGCCTGTTTTCTTCGCACAGAGCTGTTCTCGTTTACAAACCTCGGAAAAAAGAAAGGCGAGTGACTTTGACCGGGTACTCGAACCCAAGACCTATCGGTTTTGAGTTTGATACACTACTGAATGAGTAACCCCGGTCTAAAGCACTGCCGGGTAAACTCCTTGCTGGATAGAATCGCGATTAAGACAATGACTGCCCCTCCGCCGGAATCGAATTCGACATTTACGGAGTTCGAAACCGGTCTTCTAGGCACTCGGCGACCAGCCCTGTAATCGACGGAGAGGGAAGGCAGTAATCCGGGATGTCATTGGAGCCGATTAAATCAGTGATAGGGACGGCTATAACGACAACGACAAGAGTAAGACATAAACGACGCTAAACTCAAAAATAAAATACACGACAGGAAACTTCCCGAACGCTAAAACAACGTTCTTTTATGAGAGTGCCAAATGATAAATCTGGCAGTGTGTAATAGTTGTACGCACAAATTGCATGAAAATTGAACAAGGGCAAAACCGTACAAAAATACAGATTTAAGATCAAGCGAGAAATAAGAGTTTTTGACAATTACGCCGGTAATCGTTTCTGGTACCAGGTTTCGTCATAGACAATGACAGCAGAACACGCGTTAATGAATTATATTCACATATTAATAAATCGTGTTGTCAAATTTAAATAATAGATTTTCACACAGAGGCGCAGGGAAAGGATATTACTATCTCTGCAGATGAAATTACATTAATGAAAAGCTTGAAAAATGTAAAGGTTGCTGGAATTGATGAAATCAGCCCTGAAATGCTCAGGACATTAAGCGAACAAGGCATGTGCTGGCTAACACGTGTCTGTCAAACTGCGATGACTGCGGGAAAGGCACCAGCGGATGGAGAACGGGAGTTGTTATGCTCCCATTCAAGAAGAGACACCACAAGGAATGCTGCTATATAGGCATTACGCTATTGAGCCTCCCAGGTAAAGTTTGCGCAAAAGTTCTAGAAAGGAGGTGCCGTGAAATAGCTTACCTCAAGATCCAAGAAGTGCAGTGTGGCTTCCGGCCCGGTCGAAGCAACTCTGACCATATATTTGCCCTGTGCCAGATTGCTGAGAAATCGTGGAAGTATACGCCCATTTGGTGTACATGTGCTTTGTGGACCTAGAAAAGGCCTATAACCGGATCTCACGCAACAGTCTGTTCACATGCTTCGTGCATGTGGGATTGATGGCAAGTTGCTAAGGGCCATCCAATCACTGTATTCTGATAGCAGGTGCTGTGTCAGAGTTA